CAGTCCAAGTCAGGTAGGACTGTGTAAAGTATCCATGTGCTATGAGATAGTCTTCCGAACAATCTTTTCCTTTCCTTCCATCCACGGCTGCAGGCAAGCCGGAATGGAGACGGACATTTCCTGCTCGTTCCATCCGGCCTCCAGGAGAGCAGCCAGCACTCTCGGGACGGCGAGAGCCGTGCCGTTGACGGTCCAGGGGAAGGTGAGCTTGCCGTCAATCTTTGCTCGCGTGGCGAGCCTGCGCGTCTGGTAGTCGGTGCAGATGCTGGCGGACGTGACCTCGCCCCAGCCATCGTTCTGCTCCTGGCGAGACGGGAAGAAGGCCTCAATGTCGCACTTGCGTACGGCGGAGGCGCCGAGGTCGGCGGTCGGCATCTCGAGGACGCGGCAGTGCAAGCCCAGGGACCCGAGAATCTCGGTCTGGATGTCGAGCATCTCCTCAAAGACGTCGACCGTCTCGTCGGCGTCGGGCGCGGTCCAGGCGAACATTTCGACCTTGGTAAACTCGTGGACGCGGTAGAGGCCCTTTGTGCTCGCGCCGCGCGCGCCGGCCTCGGCGCGGTAGCACCGGGAGACGGCAACGCGTTTCGCGGGCAGCTCCGTGGCGTCGAGGGTAGTCTCGGCCTTCATGCCGGCCAGCGGGATCTCTGACGTGCCGGCGAGGGAGAGCTCTGGCTTGCCGCGCTCGGCGTCGGCGGCGGACTGCGCAAGGCTGTAGATCTGCTGCTCGCCGTTTTGGTCGCGCGGCTGGAAGCCGCAGGCGGCGGCAACGTGGCTGTAGACGACGCTGGGCGGTGCGACCTGGCGCCAGCCGTGCCGCGTGGCGACGGCGAGGGCGTACTGCACGAGGGCCTGCTCCAGCTGCGCGGCCTCGTCGAGGAGGTAGTACCAGCCCCAGCCCGAGACGGTGCCCGCACCGGCGAAGTCGAGGAGGCCCAGCTCCGAGCCGATGTGGACGTGGGACCGCCACACCTTGTCTGAGGCGCTGGGCGTCTCGTGGGGGTGCTCGTTGATGTAACTCAAAAGCCGCGGCTCGTCGCCGACGGGGGTGACGTCGCTGGTGAGGTTGGGGATGGCGAGGGCGAGCCCTTCCATCTCCTCGACGAGCTTGGCCTCGTCCTGCTCCACGGCCGCGAGCTTCTGCTTGAGCACGCGGGCCTCGTCCAGCAGCTCGTCGCGGGTCTTGCTCCGGATCTCGTTAAATTCGGCATTGTCGTCGCCGCTGGTGGACGCCGGGTTGGCGATCTGGCGGCGCAACAGGTTCGACCTCTCGCGAACGGCGCGGCTGTCCTTTTGCAGGGCCTGCCATTGCGCAAAAATTTCATTGATGCGGGCGGGGCTCTTGCTCTGTTGGACGTAGTTGCGCTCGAGACAATTTTGCTCGTGTAGTTCCGGGTTCTCCCTGATATGTCTGATGTCGATGATGGGTTTTGGCGCGGTCGAGGGCCGCTTGACGTCTGCAAAGGCACGGCGATGTTGGAGTGAGTGTGAGGCCAAACAATTCACTCTGCTAATGATGCGCGGCGTGGGTGGTGAGGTGTGTAGGAGGCGCCTCCTTGCTGCCCCTAGTGAACTGCGCAAGAGACTTGTCGGATCTCTCCCCATTTTGAAGTCTGGCAACTGAGAGGTTGGAATTCAATGTATCCCTCTCAATGAGTATTCTGAGGGAGTGCGATGATCTGATACGAAGGCGGCGTGATAACTGTATGAACCGCTTACAAGCATAATAGCAGGGGTTTCGCTGGGCCGTTCACCCAATTAAGTGCATCTTCAGCTTCACAACTGACTACAGTCGCGCTCACTCCAATGAAAAGACGAGCGTTGGACAGAGTATGATTATGTAGTTTGATCGTACATTCTTTTCTTCATATTTCGAAGGCCAGCAGGTCTCCGGGGTATCAATGCATTTTCACATGTCGGTAGGCAAATCTCTGCACCCGCCTCGCTATAAAGTTCCCCATGCCCCCAACGTCCAGTTCGATTGACCTCCAGCTCCTCGCATCAGTCCACCCGGTCCCATGCTCTGCCGCTGCTGAGCCTTGACGTCAACTTCACTCGGCCGTGAAGCCCCGTTGACTCCTTGTTGCAGCCACAGCTCGCGGTCAATATTAGCCATCGCCATAACTTTGAGCTGGCATGCCAAGCTGGCTCCTCCCCACGGCCCGAGAGAACCCAGAGGTCGAAGGGTGCCTTGAATTTTAGGATGGTGGCTATCTCGCTTCCTCAAGGAGTCCTCAATGACATCCGCTGCGCTTCGAGGCTCATCTTCGCCCGTAACTCTACGTTCTTCCGTCTCCCTTGCGGGCGGCTCAATCTCTGTAGGACCTTCGGTTGCACGTCGGCTGCCTCTCTTCAGCAACGCATTGTTCTCGTACTGCTTTGGTGCACGCCCCTGAACGGGGTCCCAACCACGCTCGTGGACGAGTTTCGACAGCTCGTCGAATATCCTCCGCTTCAAGCCTATGACTCTAGAACAGCCGCCAATGAATACAATGCGCGACATGCACACTGCTCGAGCATCAATCGGAAGCTGGACTAGGTGTTGGTAAATAAGGTGATGAATAGGGAGCTCGTCATCATCGAAGCTACTACGTGAGTAGTGTGGCGCAAAGTAGGTGTTTTCGCACGGCTCGGACAGTTGTTGGAATGGTAAAGTCAGGTTCTCCGCTGGTTCCACGGAATGGATCAAAACCTCGACATTGCTGTCAGACCGCTCTTCTTCGATGGGAGAAGTTGGCGGGGATTCGTCCTGCTCCTCGACCGTAGGCAATGCCTCTCCTCCAGGTTGCTGTTGCTCCGGCCGCCTGATACTTGGGAGATCGCCACGCTTGACTTGGCGACACCAGACAAGGCGACAGGCGACTTCTTCGCACTCCACAAAACTCAGAGAGTGCCGCCCTTGTTCCCTTTCCCGACGGGTCTTCTGCGAGTGCGCTGATGAAGTCGATAGTGCATCTTGCAACATATTGTGTGTCTCGTTGACCAGCATCTTGCCTGCGCGGGTAGTTCTTGTGGTGCGGATCTCGCGGTATTCGTAGACGCTCGTCACACTGGTCTCAGCCCAGCCAAGATCCACGACCAGTGCTGACCGAGTGCCAGCTCCCACAACCGACGTGACTGCAGATGACATCAAAGATACAATCGGTGCCTGAAAGCGGTGGAAAAGAACATCGAGGGTGGTTGACAGTAATGGCAGAGGTATCGACGAGGACAGGACAAGAGAGGTTCTTCGCGGCCGTGAATCGATAAGAAGGAACCTGGACGACAAACATTAGTGATGCTGTAATAGACTCCTAGGCGGCGGGGATGCGTCACTTGTTCAATGCTTCCCGAACAGCTCGGTCTATTTTATCCTCAACAAGCCCCAAGTCAACGGTCCGCACATCATATTGCCATAGCTCATGGTCGTCTCCCCAAGTCTTGCCCGTTGGACGACGACGCCAATCATCCTTGTGATCTGGGTCCCACGTGCGGAAGTCGCCTACGCGGCGTAGTTGTTCAGGACCTAGGGATAGCACGGCCTTCGGTGCTGGCTCTCCGGCGAACCCGAGTTTAATGAAGCGAGAGCCCAGCTCTATGACGATGATGTCTTCCTCGGCGCGTAGACTGGACGGGGAGCCAAATGTTGAAGAGATGTTGCGAGAAGGGGTGTGTGGACTTGCAGGGCCGCCGCTGATGCCAGAACCCGTCTCGGTTCGGATGTTGGCAATGGAACGGTGGGCGAGGCTCGGTGCTGCGGAGGACGACATCTTGTAGGAAGTAGTAGAGAGACGAGATATTCGTGGTGTTGAGAGCGTTGCGCCCCGGTTTAGCAAGCCATGCCCCGCGTGTTCGGTTGTCAGAGGTTGCCCGTTGTGAAGTTGTAAACGCCTGCAACGGAAAGCACGCCGGGTCGTTTGCTAGCAATCTGGTATGTCTTCTGGTGTTGTTTGCGCGCGATTGAGGAATTGGTGACAGTCCAAGTGTAATTATCAAGAGAGCCCGTGAGACTGGAGGTTTGAGGTAGAGCTTGTCGATTAGGCCTCTAAGGTAAGGTACCTGTGGCCGAAAACGGGTCAATCACTGTGGAGCACTGTTGCTGGCGCTTTACTCCGAAATAAAGTGGAGAACCGTCGCTACATGTACGTAGTAAGGCCGTGCAGATGTCATTGAGGTGGGTGGCACCGTCCGTAGTCCCGGTAACCATCTCTTTCTGTGGTGAGCCAACTACCAACCTTCAATCAACATCTCTCACGTTGAAAGGCACCTATCTCTCGCCAGACAGACGGAGCATTGACAAAATCATTGGATACGACTTGTGTATGAGTTATTGAGCATAATGATTCGCGCATAGCAAATCTTTGGGAGGCTCGTTGCACTTCAATTTTGAAATCTTTCATTTCGAGCACAACGTTGTTCTTTTTGGCTGTCCGAATCATCGACGTATCAACGACTTCATGCATTTCGCCCCCCAATATCCCTCCACCCCTTTGGATGGAATTCTGCATCTACACTCAACCCGCAGATCTAATCTTTCTTCTCTGCATTAGTTTCTTGCCTTGGTATTCTTGAGATCAGAGCCATTGGAGAATTGCAATGGGAATCAAAGGGTACTTACCACCACTCCTGTCCTCTTCTTATCATGATAGCGAGGTCCCACTCACATGACAACCACAGAATTTACCGTGAACTCGGCCCCGGCAGAAGAGTGTCTCTTGCCAAACTTGCTACAGAGAAACTTGAAAATACAGGCCGGCCGTTACGGATTGCCATTGATATTGCCATCTGGCAATTCCAAACACAAGCCGCACGAGGTAGCGGCAAATCCACGTCCAATTTGGCCGCTTCAGAGCTGACAGATTTCACCAGGTGGGACAAACCCTGCAATCAGGACTCTTTTCTATCGCTTGGTGCGACTACTTAGTCTTGGTATACACCCCATTTTTGTATTTGATGGCCCTCACAAGCCGGCTTTCAAGCGCAATAAGCGCTCCGGTAAAGGAGATGGCGTTGCAATAGCCATGGCGAAGAGAGTCATTCGTCTATTCGGATTCCCAGTTCATGACGCGCCCGGCGAGGCAGAAGCCGAATGCGCTCTCTTACAGCAGCGGAGTATCGTCGACGCAGTTTTGAGCGAGGATGTCGACACAATCATGTTCGGCTGCACCCGAAGTCTTCGAAACTGGTCAGCAGAGGGGACCCGCGGAGCCAAGACGCCCACCCACGTTAGCATGTACGAGGTCGATGATCTATTGTCTGCCGAGACGGGTCTGGATCGAGAGGGTATGGTGTTAGTCGCACTGATGAGTGGAGGCGACTACATACCGGAAGGTGTACCAGGATGCGGTCCCAAAGTTGCATGTGAGGCGGCGAAAGCTGGGTTCGGCAAGTCGCTATGCCGCTTGAAGATCGAAGACGATGACCAATTTGATGACTGGAGGAGGACGTTACGACACGAATTACGTACGAACGAGAGCGGCTTCTTCAGAGTACGGCACAAAGCTCTATCCATACCGGACGAGTTTCCAGATCGCCAAGTACTCAGGTATTATACGCACCCGGTCGTCTCAAGTGCCACCACTATCGACAGGTTGAAGACGGGTCTCAATTGGAGTCGCCCGATAGATGTGCAAGGTCTCCGGTACTTTGCCGATGAGACGCTTGACTGGGTGAATAAAATCGGTGCCATCAAGCTCACGCGAGTCCTGTCACCTGCGTTACTCGTCCACAAGTTACTGGAGAGGCACCTTTCCGACCGAGCAAGCTACCAGACGGCAGAGGAGATGGAGAAGGAAGAATCGAAAATGATCAATCGTATCGCCGGGATACGAAGCCATCACAGCACCGATGGTATTCCAGAGCTGCGCGTAGCACATACTCCGACCGATATAGTCGGTCTAGACCTTTCACAAGAGATAGACGAAGCCGACGAAGTGCCCTTTGATCGCCAGGGTCTCGGACTCAATAGCGACGAGGAATTCGAAGCTGCTATTGACGGCGAGGGAGTGCCAGCGAGCAGCCAGGCTGTGCCAAAGAGTACATTCGACCCATATGCCGCCCAGATGATCTGGCTGCCCGAGTCGCTCGTCAAGCTAGGCGCACCTCTGGCTGTCGAAGATTGGGAAGAGAAACAGCGCACCAAGGCTACGAAGGCGTCTACAAAGCCCAAGAACACAAGCAGCAAGGGCGTTAGCAAGAGGAAGCCTGCCAAAGCCGTCCCAGCCGAACACGGCGCGCTTGATAAGTGGATGCAAATCACAAAGGGCACAACTACAAGACAATCAGCAAAGACTGGCGGCGCAATATCGCAACATCAAGTAGATGACGAAGATGTCCTCCCACCACAACTCCCTCGTCCAACTATTCTTAGGCCTGATCCAACAAAGATTGCGGCTGCGTTTCCGGCCTCCTCCTCCTCACAACGTCCGAATCCCTTGCCGAGACCAATCAACCGAAGTAAGCAATCCAGGTCCAACGGGAAAGTGTCTGCCACCGCAGAACCAACCGCTCACAGTAACCCCTGGGCATACGCTGGCTCACAACATATGCCTAGGATCACCGAGCCTCGGCAGCCCGCAGAGCCGATTCTGTTGTCATCTAGCCCCGTCTGCGCTTCGCCTGCGCCTCCTTTTCCGTCGCTGAAAATCCCGCTGAGCCCGCTGAGCCCGCTGAGCCCGCTGAGCCCGTCGAGCCTGGCGAGTCCACCAACACCTCAGCATACCATTATCGACCTATCAGGTCTTGACGAAGATTCTTTCGTCGAGCCCGCGCCCAATCCGCCTAACATGTCTACATCAGCACCTCGTCGTCTTTCCCAAAGCCCTGGGAAACATCGGGAGTCGACAAAAGGTTCGTCACCAATACGACTGGCGACAACTCTGTCCAAGAGTCAGCGGGGGCTGAAGCAGACACGTATGGAATCGTTTGTGACTGGCAACACCACGCGGCCAACGGCGGATCAGGAAACCAACCATGATAGGCAGCCAAAGAGTGTCCAGAGCGGTGGCCGCCTTGGCACGTCCATCACCGTCAGCCAGACTGCCAAGGTCAAACCCGCTGCACCGAAGGAAGCTGCTGGTGCCGGCTTCCGTGGTTTCCGAACCACCAAAGTCACAACTTCCTCCTGGCTAGAACCAGACGATGCGTTTGCGCCGAAACCCATTGTAAAAACTACCTCAACGGAGGCCAGGAAAAAAGTCATGGTGCCACGGACAAGCGTCAGTGGATTTTTCCGGGTGGTCGAAGTGAGCGACGGGGAATGGGTAGCCCGAACGAAGGCGACGATGGCATCGGAGCGCTTGACAAAGGATGACGGATGGAGGCAGAGCGAAGTTTCCATTATAGATCTCACAGGAGACGACGACTAACGATATCCCCCCGTTGTACCACTCTGTACCACTACCATCAAGCGCATTCAAGTCTTATTCCAATAACGACAATGGCTTATGTCTGAAATCTATTGCTATATGCCTCCCTGAATCAAGGCCTTCTTTGCAGTGTCGATGCACGACGCGAGTTTCGTCAATGGGTATCCCAGGCTGTATCCGTCAAATATTGCCAACTCAAAAATAATCCAAAAAATAAGATCAAAATCCGCCAGTAAATTCGTTCATCATTAGTCGGAAGAATAACCAGTATGCTTCTTCATCTCGTTCTGCAGCCGTAAATTGGCCGGGCATTTGAGTCCATTTTTTTCGTATCAATGCTCACCATGCCAAGGAAGGTCACGATCCCCCACGGTTATGCACGTGAGGTAGCCAATTCCATCGGCGGCCCTTCCGCTGTTGATATCCAGCTCTAAACCACTGCCCATCAAAGGCCGGACAATGTCGCGAGCCATCAGCTTCAGCTCGTCGATGCGCTTCTCAAAGCGTCGGAGATTGTCCCGGCTATACAGCTCAGGCGTCAATTTTAAGAACCGCTTGCACTCATCGTGGCCCAGGTAAGCCGCTGAGGAGGCGCCGAGAGTGCGATATGTGCGGCCGACCGTGGCCAACGGCGGAACAGCAGCGGGGAGGGCCAGTTGCTGGTTGTTTCCGTTCCGACCGTCGCGAGAGCTTTGGAGTCGACGGTCTGGGGGCGGAGGACTGGTGTTGTCTGCCAGCCATTGTCGAAACAGGCTAACGGCTAGCCAGTCGAGATAGTTGTTCTGAGGTGTGACACGCTCGCCCCTCGCCGTCATCAAGCTCAGTCGGAAGAGACGGCCTTCGACACGGCTGACCACCTCTTCTAGCTCGTCGACCTTGTCTTCAATTATGTCTAGAACGATGTCAGGGAGCGCAGCACGCAGGCTACGTTCTCCTGCCGGCCATTGCCCGACCACATGAATCAAGGCCTCCTGAAAGATGACTCTACTGCGGGCAAGGTAGCCAAGACGTAGGTATGAGATGGGATACTTAGCAATCTGCTTCCAGAGCCGTGACTGAAATTGAAGCAGATGGTGGTCAACCCTGGGGCCAACCACGGCCAATGCGTCATATAGGTCCGCCAAGGTGATGAGAGATTTGCATTGAACGTAAGCATCCGCAATATTGACACCGTCGAGAATCGGGGAGTGGTTGTAGAAAATGCGGAAGAGGTTGTCGTAGTCGCGGAGGAGATCTTGATCGGCCTGCGAAAGCGGCTGGCTTGTTGCCGTCGTCGTCGAGCTAGGCACGAGGCTCAGATTGGCGACGGAGCGGAAGAAGTTATGATTCGAGTGCGCCGACGAGGAGTGGGAATGTCCCGATGTCTTGCTTCGCGAATACGACACGGGCTGGTCGCCGTTGACCGCGCTGCCACCAGAGCCAAACAGAGACCCAGAGTTGCCCGCGCTCAAACCCTTTGAGCCATCTTCATCCTTTTGCACCAGCATTGGTATATCGCCATCCCCCGTGCCTGGATCCAATTCATAGCGCCAACGTTTCCTTGGTAGTGTAGATGAAGTAGTCAAGGCCCTGCTGGAAGGCAGAGGGTTGTAAGAGTCGGCTGAGGAGCCGTCGCCTATACGAGGCAAGTCATTCGAGGCGCCATCCGAAACTGCTTTGGACCACTCGAGACTAGTGCTGGCCTCGAAGAAACCGGAGCATTGCGTGAGGGTATGACGATGCAGTAGATAACGGTTTTGGTGGCCACCGGCCTTGACTATAATCTCGACATCGCCCGAATTGTTGAAGACGGGAAACTCATTCTGGGAGATATAGGATGAACCGCCGACATGAGACCTGTTGTATCGCTTCGTGCGAGATAGTGAAGGACGCGAAACGACCGAGGAGGGGCCTCGCAGGGTGAGGGAGGACGCGGAATCGGGCTGCGAGACCATGAAGAAGGCGTATCGACTCTATCGAGACCGAAGCTGCGAAGGTCGGAGGAGGGACTGACGGCCTACGGCGGCTCGGACATGGAGGAACGCGCGCACTGGGGGTCCCTGTAGGTGGACAAGCAGGAAACGAAGATGCGACACAACGGGCGCGCAAGAAGCGCGCACAAGTGGCGGAGAGTCGTCGGCCGAAAAGATGAACCAAGGTTGACCACTTCTGTGAGACGGGGAAGCTTGTTGACGGGCTCAAGGTTTTGGGCGGCGACTCTGCGTTGATGGGCGCACAAGAGTAACACTGACGAAGGCGTGCGGGAGTGAGACAGAACCGAGCCGAGGCGCTGAGAACAATGGAGCTCCTAAGCTAAGAGCTACGAGACTACTTGCACCAAGAAAAGGTGAAGAAGCGGGGAGCGGACGGGCGGCTGGATTTGTTCGTGTCGCGATGCGCGGGGGAGGAGTGTGCGAGCGTGCGTGCGCCGGTGACAAGATCAAATAGCTCTGATGGCGGGAGCTAGAAATGCAGTGTGTGGTGATGGAGCAAGGCAAAGGCGATGCCAAGAATATCTACGCGGAGGCGAAGAGAATAGAGGAGAGACGCGAGTCTAGTCAAGCTGTACGGATAGATGTGTTGATTTGTTGCTGGTCGAATGGGGTCTTGGGGTGGCTGGTGAGGTAATCAGCACGAGGAAGACCGAGATGGAGAAATCAAGCAAGACGAGCAGGCAAGAGTCTGAGACCCTGGTGACTCGGGGGGAGGGGTCTTGACGCTATTTGGTACCGATAAGGTAGCGAGCACCTCGTGATGCGACTACTGGCGACAAAATTCAAGACCGGACAGAAGATGTCAAAGATGGGAGAAGAGCCAGCACCATCATAGGCCCAATGAGGGTCGGTCCAGAGCCAGAAAGAGAAAACAGCTGTATCCGTACGCAGTAGACGTGTGGACGCGTAGAGCCAAAGAGTGAAGCGTGAACCAGGATATTGCGACGGCGCCGGCGACGAGAAGTGGGACAGGGACAGGGTGAGCAAGCTCTGCGTTATGCAGTTGCCAATGAGATGGCGAAGACAGGCACAATGGGACAGGCTGCTCTGGGTCGACCTGGAAGTGGGAGACGAACCTGGAAGCGCTCAGGATATCATTTCGTAGAGGCAAAGAGGTTCTGAGGCACACATGAGTTTTAACCTACCACCCAACCAAAAAACGTAGGCAACCTAAGGTAAGCAAAACAAGTAAAGTCGGGACGATGGGTGGCAGTTGACGGGTAAAGGTTGAGTCAACTGTCAACGTACCAATGAGCGGGGAGCGACAATCCGCCCTGATACTTGTAAAGGAAAGACAAGAAGAAATCTTCCCAGGCCTTCCCAGCTATCCCAACAGTGTGCCTGCCTCCATAGGACGACGATGGATTAAAAGTTGCCTCCGGTGCCTCCCTCCGAGCTTGCGCTTGCCGATAGTGGGTGCAGGCCACTCGCCTCCTTTCATCGTCGCCCAACCATAGGTTGCTTGAATACCCTCATGAGGCGAGGAGATGCAGGGGGCATCATCGTGCATGCTGGCAAGGCAGACTTCGCAGACTCGCTCACTGGCACTGGTAGACGGGGGCCACCTCCCGTGCTTTTCCCACATGCACCTTACCTTGGCCACCCTGGAGCTGCCAGGTCACGAAATTTCTTCCTCTTGCTTGTCCGCAGTGGCAGGCTCGCAACAGCCTGCAAATCGTCCTCAGCCAATGGAAGGTCAGGTGGAGGAAAAGCCAGAACGTGACTAGGTGTGGGGAAAAGAGGTCCGATCTCGAATTAATCGGAGCATCCTCGTCACGTGAGACACATAGAGCAGTAATCTTTCTTCCTTCCAATCCCGGTCCTACTAGCCAGCCTCCGGATTTTGGCGGCTCGTCTGGAGCCTTTAGTGGAGGGCTCGTGATTGGTCACAACCGTGGCAATAGCCGGGTACCCCGAACCGCACTCGAGCTTGCATGTCGATCAAAGTATTCCGTCATCTCCTACTTCCGCCATCTCTCATCAGCCATTTCATTGGCCACATGCGTGCTCAATGCTCCACCGATCCGCAGCAAAAATTGCTCCATCTTTCTGTCCTCGAGACACCAATGAGAAGCAAAAACCTGTGGCCAATGGAACAACTTCAATCTGTGTTGCACCGTTGCCCGCTCCTCGCAAACCTCCGTGCGGCCCTCTCAGTGTCACAATGGAACTTCGGAGGCAAAAAGCAGCAGCTTGACGGGCGCGCGAGCGAGCGAGAGACAAGGTACCTAGCTCCTGCTGGAGGTTCCCCGGTCGTTCAATGGTTCCCACCATCAGCCGATTCAACCAGTAAGCGGCCACCACTCAACTCCTCGAATCCTAAGGTGTGCTTCACTGATCACTCTGCCGACCCCATTTCTGTTCTGGCGCGCCCTGCAAGCTGCTGGAACTTGCCGCTCTTCCACCCGTGACCCTCGTTGGACTCGTGAGTCGTGTCCCCCTTTCTGAGTACCTATGCCAGTGCAGTGTGCCCAGGGTCTCAACTAACCGTTCACGGTCTCATTCACTCACCTGGGGGGCGGAGGTCGATGCTCCCCTCCGTCCTTCCGTCCCTCATAATGTATCGAGCTGAGTCTCGTGCCCCAGCCGACAGACAGCCAGCATCGCTTTGCTTCGCTCGCACTGGGCTCTACCGGCGCTGACTGTCCAACCTGTCACACAAGATGACGGATTTGGCACTTACACCCACATACCTGTCCGTCGTACCATCGCAGACCAAGGTAGGTTTAGCAGGCCCGTCCACTTTGTCTCGTCTTATCCAAGGCCACTCGCTCCAAGACTCTTGACTCGGGTTTGCATCGGCCAATGAACGCTATCAAGGTTTTCTCGTCTTGCAAACGGTCTTGGACGCCTCGGCAACGCAGCAAACCGCGTTCCGAGAAAAATTACCCCGTACCTCAGCTTAGTCGACCTTGATACTAAAGCGTGAAGGCTATGCTTTCACCGCCAAATACCAAGCAAGATGTGCTTTAGGCCAGGAAAATGGATTCAAGACGTTGAGTTTGCGAGTAAATGCCACTGTTTAAATTTAGTCATATTTCTTTTGATAATTCTGAAGCTTGCTGATATCGCATATCGGCATCTCCAATGCGGTAACTAAACGCGAAATAAGCAGAGACCAGACCAGTCTGTCAAGATCGGTTTCGACAGTTGATGATGTGCCCAGACCAAGAAATTATTTTCTCCGCTGGCCGGCCATCGTTTGTGTGCCGTGATGATATGATATATCCTCCCTCAGTCAGGTACTCAACCCATCCAACCCGACCCGACCAAGCGAACAGCTTGGAGAAAAAAACCATTGCGCCTCCCCTAACCTTGCCGTTTTGTAATGAGATTCCAAAGAAAATGAAACAAAGCCGAACGCGCCGTTGTTTATCGCGTGGCCGCTTTACATGACCATATTGCTGTCAGCCTCCATCATGTTGGCTGGTTCTACTGCTGCGGGAGACTCGGTCGCAAGCAATGTCTCTTGACCGTCAAAGGTGGGAGGCGAGCACTGGAGATTTCGCATAGCGCCCTCGACGTCTCTGCTAACAAAGCGGCCTTGACGGAGGTTCTCTGCGAAGAGGAAGAAACCTTCCGCGGCTTCGACGAGGTACGATTGTAGTCCCTTGCTCTCCAGCCGGATGATGGCGTTGGAAACAGGGTAGTGGTTCTCAATAAACCGGGCCCAGCCGCGCGCCGCGGCTTGGATGTGTTGGTCTTCGCTGATGCGTCTCCAGCCAATGCCGAGGTGAAGGGTGAATTGGTCGACGACTGGTTGCGCAGAGCTCTCTGATGAAAGAGTTGTGGATGTGGACGCCGTAGCTGGCTGGGCTGCATGGAGATTTGGCATGACGGCCTGGGTAAGGCGTTGGGATTTGTTGCTGCGTAGAGATGGGCGTTCCTGCTGCTCGTGGAGACGTGTGATGGCCTCTTGTGTTTTGCGAGCGTCATCTTGCGCAGCCTTCTCTTCGACCCAGGTGCCGGATTGACTACCAGCATCCGCGACGTAGCTACCCTTCTTGATGAGAACCATACCAGGGCCGTACTCCCACTCTTCTTCGGGTTCTTTGGGTGCGGTATGGTGTTCGGGCTCGTCGGTCACCAGGTTGGGGGCAGCCTCGTCGCGCGAACGTTTGCGACCAGCGACTCGAAGGCTTCCGGCGGGCATTGCCGGCGGTGCAGGGCAGCGTTGGAAGGCGGCGGGCTGGCCAAAGGGTGTGGCTTGGGGAGAGAATGGGTCCATGCTAAAGCTCGCTTGATGGGCGGGCTGAGGAGGAAGAGCCATGACGGGGGAGCCAGCGGAGAAGGAGTGACCGAAAGGAGACATGGCTGTATAGTTAGATCTGCGCAAGGTAAGTTCAGACTTCAGATTCAAGTAACTCTTTTACGAATCACGATGTGTTAGTAGTTGAGCAAGACGTTGGTCGCGAAGTCCAGTGGCTAGATGGACGTGTTGTCTGGTAGAGTTTGAGGACAGTCGTTCGGCGTCGGCGAGGCGGTTGTAAAGGTGAACAAGATGGCGACGACTGGGTGGTGATGGAAAGTGAATGGTGATTGGTAGGTTGAGATGGCTAGACCCGAGTGATGGTGGGTTGGGGCAGGTTGGTTGAAAGGAGGAAGGAGCTGTTCAGGACCAGATGGGAGACTGAGCAGTTAATGGAAGAGTGTGAAGGCGTCTGACGAGATGGCAGGAAGCAGACATGTAAGAGTTCAGGGTGGTATGTGTAGCAGGAAGGAAGTTGAGGTTGTCCCAGAGACAAAGACTAGACGAGCTGCGGCAGGAGAGTGGATGAACTGTGGTAAGGAAGAGGGAGGGAAGGCGCCGCCAGGAGGAGGTGGGCGAGAGAAGAAGGAGCTATCCTTTTGTATCCTACAAGGTCAATTGAGAGACGGAAGGAAAACGCGAGCAACGGGTAAGAGGCAGGAAAGGGCCGACGAAAAGGTTTGGACCTGGAGGGTTGGATGCGTGGTAGACAAGGGAATGCCGCCTTCCATTTGCGAGCCGTCCTACCCCCGGTACCCCGGTCTCACCTCAGGAAGTGTCGTTGCGCTACGGAGAGACGCTCAGCTTTCAAAGTGCACCTCAGTCTGTACGAAGTGGGTACGTACCCGTCGAGCCAAGGAGGGAAAGCACAGCTTCAGGATGGCAAGTGAGTTTGGGCGTATCACAGATCATCTTGAGCACGGGCGCAATTTCTTAGTCCGTCTGAGAAGAGACTTCCATAATGCATGGAGAACACGGGCAAAGGTCGGTACTCTGGTCTCCACCCATCAGCCCAGTTCTCCCCATAGAGTTAGCATCAGTCAGTCACCTTTGTATCAGCAAACGAGGCACGCGAGGCAAACTTATATCTTGCCCCCAACGCGTCCATGCCGAATCAGGGCTAGCTAGGACGCATGCTTGCCCGCAGTTGCTACAGCTGCAGCCCATCGTCGCATTGCACGCCTCGCTACGATAGATCCAGGGGCTTTGCGACTACCCACACTAAGTACATGATGGGCCCCCGTTTTCCGAATATTCGCTTGCCCGCGACCTCGATAGTTAAACAGTGAGACTGCTTCCTTGACTACAGGTAGGTCATTGGCGGGGCACCAAGTCACGGGTGTCTTCCATCTGCATTTCATCCAGTTGACCGTTGATCTCTGTAGCTTAGACGCAAGTATTCTCGTAGTATGTGGTCGTTTGTCAAAGTAGATGGGGACGGGCGAGTACACCTGGCAGTTGAACGCGTTGAGACTCATCAGAGCCAGCCATTGTAGTTAGTAGGTTGGTCTCGTGAACGACAGCTTCGTCCCGTGCCTCGCCGGGGATGATTCCTGCTAGTCGGATGCCGAGTAACCTCTTTCTCGCGATGGCTGTTCGCAATGCACTTGTACCTCGGTGAGGACTTGGCAACTTCCTGCAGTCTCTGAGCGATGCCTTCCCTCCAACTTGCCGCTGCGAGCCCGGCTGCTGCCAATGGAGGAGACATACATCGCGCTGAATTGAAATAATGCACTCTTCAAAACGAACTTCATAAAGTTTGTCGGGCTACACTAGCGCCAATGACGACTCCATCTGAAGATCAACAATGATGCGCCTGGATCCTACCGTCATTCGCATAACTCTCTCGGAGGTCAAGCAATACGAACGTCAACGCAAGGCACAAGACCGCGGCGGTCGAGGTAACGATGCCCATTCGAGCCGACAGGCACCTACGAGTGGCCTGCTACATGACCCGCTGCGACTCCGTTTCGTGCCAGACAGTATTTTACCCGGCCAAGAGAGTATCGAGATACATAACAGTCCAACCGCCTTTGACCATCACGGTGACGATGAGGATGGTAAAACCATTGTTGATGACAGCGAAAAGATGGACACGTCCTCTATTGACAACGAAGATGAAGGAGAAGAAGACGGAAACGAGTCGATGGGAGATACTCACGAGGACCGGTTACCGGGCCTAAAAATGCCGAGGCTACCGCTACCTCTGCCCTTCTCCGCGACAGCGAGAGTAACAACAGCAACGAACCACCCTGGAAATGTATGTTGTTGCTCCTGAGAATAGCACCACCCAGCGGTTACGCTGACACCGACCATCTGACAGATCGTTCGGCTGCCAAGGGGCTTGCGACATGGTGAACCAAGACGCATTGCACATTTGTCACCAGAAACGCCGTCAACCCGGGCAGCTGCTGTCATCTCCCGACATAACGACCTATCAACGAGACAGACTTTGCGACAAATCACACTCCACGATAACGATGCAGCGGACACATGGCAGTCGCATGCTCCAGGTGACTCGACCGAAGCTCAGCAGCTTGGTCGGCTGCAGCCACCTTTTCTGCCGAGTATATCAAGTCCGTCCTCAAGATCACCTCGACTTGGTGAGAGAGCAAACATCACCGCTAGAGGGATTCCTCCCGAAGCCATCCGACGACTCGGCGTCACGGTGGACTCGGAAGAAACAGGCGAACAAGGAATGAGCATGTGGCGTCTAGTAGCACCTGCCCAGCATGAACAAGACGAGGTACAGAACTTGGAAGACCAATAGAAGGCGAGGCGACGGGAGCAGAAGCTCGTTGAAGAACCACTCCGGGCCCCCTATCAGACTTGCATTGATAAGTAATCCATATCGGCAGTGACTAATTCACGGGGCAACCCGGCTACTTGGGCGAAGAAAGGTTGACCAACACCGCAGAGAGAAGAGGGTGTTCTGCGATGAGCTAGCTGTACAGGACGGCGTTTGCAGTACAAGTACATTAGCTGAAGCGACTGCTCAAACATAATAGACATGAGACATTGTGAGACTCTTCAGATCGTCCCAGCCAGTGAGGGTCGCAGACTCTGGAATGTGCTTGTTAGACTTTGGCCGATCTTGGACTTCTGGAGACCTTCCATCATTCCACGAGATACCGTGGTGATGCTGATAATCGCTCTTGGTTTCTCGACAGCTGTAATCATCTTCCAGAGCCATAGACCTAAGCCAATTTTTCAGTCGGCCTAAAGTGAGCAGTGAGTCTCTAGCAAAGCCACACCACCAAGCCTGACGCGCCACATTTGCGATTGACGATGAAGAAAGGGGGTGGTCATGGCCGAGTGGGCTGGCCGACACACTTCTCTCAGTAGTCATTGCTCACTACCAAATGGTTCTAAGCCACATTGGATGGGCACAACAGCAGCCAGATCGGCATAGAGAACTGCTTGGTTTCTAGATGTTGATGGGACAAGAGGTTGAGTTCCTTACAAGCTGTAAAGAAAGGATTCACTCAAACTGCGCAGGAAGTAGGCCTTCCATGCAGCACAGTAGAACTAGATGTAATTTACCCAGGGGAGGTCCACGTGGTTTTTCCGCGGGAGCCGACAAGAAGATGCGTATTGTTCAAGCAGTCCTCATCCACTAAGCCAGGCGAGATCAATACCCAATCACAAAATCACACAAAGCCGAGGCAAAGGATTGTTGTTGGTTCATGATGTTATTGCACATCTAACAAATACAGTCATCGCCTCGTCTCAGTCATCCCAAATGCCTATGCCGACATGCTCCCAGTGAGTTTCCGCCACATCTTCTGGGGCCCTGCGCAACCAATACTTTTTGCTTCCCTAGTTTGCCTTGTGATGAAAATGAACAAACCGAAAAATGAACTAACCAAAACAAAATTGACCGCTGCCCGCCAAAGCTCCTCGCAATGCTTCATGAGATTTTCCAAGCCGAGCAATATAAATGCCACAAAAACTCCACTTCAAAATGTCCTGAACCTATGTCTATCATTCCTCTTTTGCTTCCCCAATAATGCATGTTGGATAATGTTCTCCTGCCAGGTAGATTTGTAATTTGATGCCAGAATACAAAGTCGAAGTGGGAATGTTGGGCAAACGCCGAGAAGGGTGGAGAGAAAATTGGTATCATGGCTTTGCTTCAAGCACTTTAAAAAAAAAAAAAACACCAGAAGTACGAAATTGAAAAAGGAAAGTGACAGGCTAGCTGGAGGTGCTGCTAGCTCTGCGCACCTCAATGTTGATATCTTTGGGTGAACCTGCCATGCTGAAGACTCGGTGCAAGAGGCTACGCTTCGTCATGCTCGTCCGTCGGTATTGGTAATCATCGTCGCAAGAGCACGGTAAAATCGGGCTACTTTGCTGGCTTTGCCGCTTAAGCTCAGCATCCCACCCATAGAGATCCTCATCGGGTGCGGCATGACAATACGATACAGGCTCGTCGTTAGCCATTGCAACGGCCTCATCCTCTGGTGGAGGATGAACGTTGATGCCCAGCAGGTTCGAAAAGTCCGTGAACCGACAATCGATTGGCGGAGATACGGGTAGAGGCAGCTGGCTTGCATCAACTTCCTTAGTAGTGAGCTCGTCGCAAACACCTCTGCCTGTCGGTTCGCCAGAATCTTCTGGCACAGCAGGAGGCATAGCCAGAGTGGGTGCCGCAGGAGGAGTGATTCCCATGTTTTGAACAGAAATGGGCTTCAACTTGGCGTCTTCGGATATCTCCGTGGTGATCCTCAAGGGAGCGGGAGTGTTGGTTCGCGACCGAACTCGAATAGGGCGTCGTACCATCCAGGGCCGTGGGTTGTGGTAAGCGCTAAATTCCTTTGCGGCCATGCCACCTTTGCATCCACCATTATTGATGTGTTGTGGACCAGCAAAAGCAACCTTCTTAATTTCACTGCCGGCCTCTGACGCCGCGAGAGGTAGTCGTTTGCCTGGATGAGGCTCCTCCCACGGGTTGAAAAGGTGACGGACACGTGAGAAGCCGTCCAGAGGGAGGTGAGAAGATGATGTCGCTGGTGTGGTGGATGTAGTTGATGGCATGACCTCTGGTTCCTATAAAGGGTTGCTCTGGCTGCCTTCAGCCATGGTGACGTCCCCATCAGTGATTGGGGCCGATGATGTCGGGTTGTTTCGTCGGTTAGAGCGTGACTTGCGATGGAGACCCAGCTTGGCGCCAACCTTCTTCCACCCGTTATTGTGTGCGGTCAATGCCCGTTGAAGTCCACCTGGGGAGGTACTGAATGTCCAGTCTGAAGTTGGCGGAGTAGTGGGAGGAGTCATTGGCTCTGTGCCAGGAGAAACAGCGCTTCCACTATCATCTGTCAATCCCTCGCGTTCAGCGTGTTCGCCAGACGCAGAAGCCGATCGACTTGTGGCACCACTGCGACCCAAAGTCAGCTGGGGTAGGAACTTGGGAGACTTCACGGGCTCTTCTGACCTAGCCCCAGCACCCTCGGCCCGAAGGCGCAGGCGACCAGGTCGGCCTTCGTCCTCCGCCGTACGGCAATCGCCATGGCCCGGTTGGACCGACTCGATGAAGGGAACAAGTACAGAATCGTTCATGAGCTCGTAGACGATTCTGACGGCGTCGTCGAGTTCACTTGGAGGAGGTGGGGCGGAGGAGCAGTCCAGGTTCGTAAGATGATTCCGCACGGGCGAAGGAAGATTTACCTCGCGCGGCGCGTATGGAATGATGTATGCTTGCATGAGCTTCTCCCACAATGAGCAGACATGCTCTTTACCATCGCCGATCCATTCCTGGTTGGTGATGATCTGCTCGTATGCCTTGCGATATCTGTCGGCGTCCATAGTGAATTCTAAGGTCTCCAGACAGTGGTTCTGAGAGAGGTATGCCATGAATGCTGCTAGTGTCCATGGCGGCATAGAGGTGTTCGAGAGGATCTCCGAGAGAGTGGGTGGTGTTAAGATGACGGCGCCGGGCATCAAGGCCCCGCTGGTGGGTCTCGACCTCGACATGATCGTGGTGTATTCCCAGTCCAGGACAGCTGAAGCCGGACTGGGTGGTGACAGTTCCCTCTCGGGTGAAGGTGAAGGACTCAGGTAGATGGGGGAGTGCTGTCTTATCCTGGACCTTTTCATTTCCACGCCAAGTTATCTTGTGCAGAAAATATTGGAGTTGCCAAAAGCCGCTGATCAAAAAGACAGCAGTAGACTGGTGTTGCAGGGTAGTCTTGGGCGCCTAGAATTGCATCGATGACCCCATAGAAGGCGCTGGTTGTCGTAACAAACTACAGTGAGTGCAGCCTTTCTTCGGTTGAGACGAATTCGGGTCGTCTTCCACGGAATGTTTCCCTCGGCGGATAGTCTCGATGAAGTGACCAAATCCTACTTTTTGTTGCACAAGTGGATACAGCAAGTTGAGTCGCGCTAAACGTTGATCGACTAAAGATTATCGATGTGGTGTGATATGTTTGTTGTCGTGTTGGGTCGAAAAGAGCGAGCACAGCTTAGATCGTAGAGAGCTGTTGCCGCTGAAAAGGACGGGGCCCACGGGAGGTATATAGCCCAGAGCGTTGTAGATAAGGGCGCTATGTTCAGGCGGGCTTTGGGAGGAGGCTTGCACTAAGACAAGATTGGAGACGCTAGAAGTGTCTTGGTGACGGGAATGGAATTGACTCGTCGCAATCGGCAATGAGTGTGCAAGATGCTGCTTGCAGAATGTCGCAGACGACAGTCAGTTAACAGTAAGAGTGCAGCGAAGCTCCAAGGTAGACCAGTGGTAGTGTGTTCTGAGAGATGTATGCGGAATGCAATCAAGCCACACGTTCGACGGTCATCCAATACGGTCGAGTGTACGATGCGGTACAAACGGGTTCCTTTGGCTGGTGGCTTCGAAGACTGGCGACGTGACGTCTTTACAGAGTCGAATTCGGGAGGGGAATGCTGATCGAAGGAAACAAACGGTATGAGGCGTGGTTTGGTGGTCGAATTCGTCGCTACTGTGGACGGTCTCTCGAAGTTGGTAGGTAGGTATTTGGTAGAACAAGGAAACTAGCTATGAGAGAACGTGGTAGCGAGCTGGTGACCCGTGTCGGAATAGTGGTTGTATTGTGTTTTGTGGTGAACACGAGGAATGAAGTCGGCGACGATGTTCGTACGGCGGCAGGCGATTTGATGTCGTGTAGCGATATGGGTCTCTCTTTGATTTGGTGGGGATATCAGGCGAATGTGACGGGTGGTGTCGAGGAAAGGATTCGCAGTGGATCGTGAGAGAGTGGAAGAAGTAGGAAGCAGGCGAAGAAGGAAAATGGAACTAGTGAGAATGTCTGTCTTGTGAGATTTGGGAGTGTTTGAGAAGGAGAGGAAAGGTGAAGCATTAACGGTAGGATTGAAGGGGATGGGTAGGAGGAGAGGACATGAGATAGCTAAAAGCGTCCGGTATCCATCCAGTCAGAACAAGTACATGGGGCAAGTATCTTTTGGACGGCGGCCGTACCGTATCATGCCTATGGTAGGCGAGGAGGCGAGGCAAGGAATGGTAGAGTAAGGTCAGGATAGGTAGGTACGGGGCCCGCAAGAGGGAATGCTCCGCACTGGATTAGCGCGCCGGGGGCCATGTGCCTCAAGTACCAAAAGTCATGGGTTGCGAGCAGTATCCGTATGTACTTGGACCACAATGCTCCTACTAAACATAACCCAACGAGGCGTGTCCACGGGTAGCAGTACCTTCATCCCGAAGGTCCTCAGTATCCACCGAGCCACACCTCAGCGAGAAGAAGGGTGAGCGTCTGCGCACCTCAAATCAGATCCATCCTTCCATCACCATGCTGCCCGGGGCCCAGGGCCTTTCCCCCCATCCACCAGGCCAGTACCAGGAGGGTCCCAGTCCACACATTTGCTCTTGCCTGTTGAAGGGAGACCCGGACGAGGCGCTGGACGGGGCAAAGGCCCCAGGATGCATGTGGGCTCTGAGGCAGGGGAGGCCTGTCAGCGGAAGGGGAGTTTGCCAGGGTGTGGGAACAAGTCTCATTGCGATATAGGTGGTACGCAGCAAAAGACCACGAACAAGGTATCGGAGACAGCGAAAGTGCGCAGAAGTAGTACTTGACCAAGGCCATTCAATCGGGTATCGCCGCCGAAGGGAAGAAAAAAAAAGCACCGACCAACCCTGTACGGAAATGCCTATGGCCCAGTGAACAGTACTTCGTACGTTGTGTGCTTGCAGGGTTCATTGGGCAAAGGAGACAAGACGAGGCAGGAGGCACATCATTGCCCGGAAAGAGAAGGCCAGAAGACAACAGGTGACCAATGGAAGCCAAGCGATGGAATATGCGTAATGCGTTGCTTCTATACTTCCATGTCGCTTCTACTGCGTAGGCCATTCTTCAATAGTACTCCGTAAACAGCGAACAAGCTTCAATGTTCACGCGATACCTACACAATCGTGACATGGCCAGAGAGGTTTGGACATTTCACAGATACAGCTGTACAAAGACACGCTGAAGCTACACCAGTCACCAGCACCGCGGGCGGGTACCGGTGGAGGCATGCGGTGACTGAAAGCCTGGAAGTGACGCGTTGCTCTTGCGACGACACGGTGGCACAGAGGCGGGGAGTCTTTGCTGCGGTTGGGCTGTAGCCTGCGGTAACGTGGTTGCGTGTGAGGACCCTCAAGCTCTCTAGTAATACCTAGAGTACGGAGTATCTGTAGAGGTAGAGAGTCCAGCACTCCAAATGGAACCTCAGCCTGCCAGACGGGACTTTCGGCTTGCTAAGGAAGCCGAGTACCCTCCTGAGACTGGAGTCGAGGCAGGCCAGAAGAACCAGAGCATCCTATCGTAGCCGAGAGACGATGGGTTAAGGAACTTGAGTGGTCTTCTTTGCCCCGTCCTTCTGTGGAGTCGTATTGTCGAAAAGGGGGGTTCGGTATTATGGTCATAGTGGCCTTAGCCCCCCCCCCCCCCGGTTCTCCCTTTCTCTTTCGTTTTCTTTCTGTTCTTCTTGTTGTTGTTGTTGTTGTTAGGGGCTTCAGCTTGGAGGGCACGGAGGGCTGGCTTAGCAATCAACAAGGTGTGGGAAGGTCACAGTCTGAGCAACAATTGGAAAGTGACCTTGACCTGACAGGATTGATGCACAACAGCGGCAGAAGAAAGGCGGGAAGACGAAATGGAAGACGGATGGAAGACGGGATGGAAAGGAGACGGAAGGGAGGGGAGTTGGGACACAGCCGTAGTGAAGGAAAAGGGGTGGGACAAGCCGTGATCAACTGAGCCCAGCCAGATTGGTGTGAGTGGGGCCTCTCAGCACTAGACTGCGCTAGAAGGCTTCGAAAGAGGGTCCGAGTGATCCAATGATGGCGCTGCATGGGCCGATTGTGCCCATTTAGGGAAAGTCGGTGGAAAACAACAGACACCCAAATGGAAGGCATATGGAACAATTCGATCAAGGGAAGGCAACAGGGGTCATTCTTAGGTAAGCGAATGATGGTCCATACTCTACATAGTACGTGCCTATCTTACCTGCCCAGAGAGGAGCTGATAGGCAATAGGCTGGGCTGGCCCTGACTGAACGGGATGAGAGTGAGGGATCGAAAGGAGCGGGTCGCGGGATTACGGTGGTCTAGGCTAGGTCTTTTTTTCTCTTGTTCTCTTGTTCCCCGTCGTAACTTCTACCGCTTTACAGTTTTCCATCCTTTTTTTTTTTTTCTTTTTTTCTTTTTTGTGATCGCAGCACATGGTATTTCACGCAAAGCGTATGGAGTATTCGTACGGGGAACCCGTATCTCCTCTTTGCAAAAAAACTCTCTTAACGGTAGCCTCGGCCATTTTGCGTTTGCTCTCTGGGCCTGGACCACCAAGACATGGCCGTTCGGCTTCATAATTTTGGTTCCATTGCCCGTTTTCTACGGAGCACGGAGCCAAGAACTGGGGGTTACGTCGGCTTCGCCTATCCCTCAACCGCAGTCTCAGTCTGTACTTGTATGTAGGTCTCCCGAGTAGCCCCCGGTCATCTCGCCATTTCGCGCTTATTCCCTCGTCCATCGACTCCATTGGCCTTGCGGGAGAAATGAAGCAGACCAGACCCGTCACCGTCATCGTGATCGTGGTGCCGGCTATCCTTTTCACCTGCTTGGCCCATGGCCGTTTCCCCCGTTTCATCCCATCAACATCCAATCACTCGACGCGCTTGTTGCCCATCCACAGTTGACCCCTTCCTCCGTCCCATCTCGTGCCCCATTTCATCCGCTGGTCGCTCCATCAGTCCATCTGCTTTCGACAGACGTCGGGCGCTGGCGCTGCCGCCGGTCTGACTGTCTGACACTTTTGATGGGAGCCCTCGACGCTGTCTGTACAACACATGCCAATGGCGTAATTTGATGTCACAGATTCCACCAGAATGACTGGACAAGACATTTGTTGCCATCTCATATCTCCGTCAACAACATGCGAGACAGGGCTCCGTTTATACAATCAACAAGTAGCATAGTCTCCGCACATGGCCTCTTTAGGATCTGCTCTGAACCAAAGGTACTCTAAGGATACCTACTTTTTTGAGATAGTAGCAACCCTCAAACTTCATACTTGCTCCTCCACAGCGTCAATGGATGGAGTACAGGTAGGTACAGGCTCTTGCAAGTGTAAGACAGTCTCATTCTCACCTACAAGTTGACACTATCCGGACCTTACTTTACATAGAGCACCGGTGTGGGCTCATCCGTGCACCCAGTACCTATTCAAGCCCTCGCTCTCTCGCGCTCACAACTCATCTTTGGGCTATGGCGCCTTCCGTTCCCAATAGATCCCTTGCTATTTCGGCCATCTCTCCGTCTCACCGTCCGTTTCGCTTCCCACTTAGCTTCGGTGGCCGCCATGATTCAATCAGTCGCAGTCGCGCAGTAATTCTCTCTCTCTCAGACTCTCTAGCTGGCTCCGCAAAAAGTGCCAAATGCCAGGAAGTCCCTGGCTCGCCGCTCGTGCGAGCTTACAGAGCTCTTACAGAGCAAAGGTGAGACTGGGAATAAGAGAGAAAAAGGGAGCGAGCGCTGCCAATACCGTTGCCGCCGCCGCCACGTCGCGCCGCGCCACTCGCGGCTCGCACCTCCTTGCAGTTTTCACGTTCCATGGGGCATGGCCGCATGGGTGGTGACAGAGCAGTGGAAAGCGAATCCGTGTTCTCTCAGAGTTCCATGAATCCTCATCCGTCGACTGATCCGAAGCCCGAATCACAGCAGTGAGCAGACCTTCTCCTGTCTGCATCCTGTCGCACGACCGTATCCAGGTAGTATCTGCACGACTGCGTCACTACGCTCGACCCACCAGCGTGAGAAATAGAACATCCGACCAGCGGCGGCCGACTGCTCATGTACGCATACTCGATGGTTGAGGCGAAGCAGCCCCAACACCGGCCGAGTCTCTGCTTCGGTACCGCTGTGGATCATGACAATGGGTTTGACGGGCCGAGGCAATCTTCAGGATGCCGTATCCAATGTTTCCTTCTCTATGTCCATCTCACTGGAAATATTCTTTCCCCGGCCGATCTTGTGCTTGGCACCGTTTTTCCCACATCCATTTGCTCCACGCATTATCATGACTAAATAAATGCCTTTGGCCCAAGTCAACAAGGTCCCTTATTATTAATATGCGGATAGTTGTTGCATCATCTCTTTGGGTGGTTGCTTTCTCTCGTTCCACCTTCCCCAGATGATAGATCTAGATAGGCATCTAGGGGAGCTCATAATACACATGCAAAACGTACTGTATTGTGGTTACCCGTGTAGCAACACACTAGACGAAGCTGGCCGGGAAGCTTTGTTCACCGTGTGAAGAATGTACGGATGTCTAATTACATCAACATCCACCGACCGCCAATCCCTCACTCGTCCCGAGGTTGAAGACACCTAGGTCCAAAGACTGGTGCGGCGGATCAGCAATCAGAATACCTAGCCATGCTATGGCTCGAATGTCTGATCAACACGCGTGCTAGTAGTATGCGGCATTGGACTTTCCGATTGTGGCATAACGCCACGCGCTGATGGTACGGGTGCGCCATTCAGACGGGCCTGACCCCCTCAGCACCGTCGTCACGTCTCACTTTCAGTTTGACTTACGGGGAGACGGGGAGGTGTGTGGTGGGTTCCTACCGTTCGGCAATGGAAGAACCCACGAGGAGGAGAGGGAAGAAAAAAGGATGAGACGTGGGTGACGCGATGTGCCGCAGTCTTACATATGCCGTCATACTGTTCCTCCAGACAACGCCAAATAGACGCACGGGTACGGTACACCGCGCCTACTGGTCATGGACTCTCTCATTCTCTCGTGACAAGCTCATACTCCTCTCGGAACTGCTGATATGATGGTAAAGGGAGTTGCTGCAGACTGTAGTCTGTTCAGAACCTCAATATCTTTACGGATGGATATTGCATAGCTAAACACCCGATCTGCCGCGTTTTGAGGAACCCCCGGAAGATTAACCCAACCAGGCCCCATCCCCAATGACTTCCAAGCCCGCCCGGCCCCCAGGTACAATTCGTCCAGCACCCCGTCCAGCAAGGTAATTAGGTCACCACCATCTGGCCGAAAGCAGAAAGTAACATTCAAAGTCCTTTCAGCAGAAGGGGAGGGGAGGGGGGTGAGCAACGGCAGAGTTCCTGCAAGGGTGTGCTTCTGGCGAAAAGGGTCTCTGCATCTCGCACCCTTGATTTTTAAAATTCGATTCGATTCCTAGTGAACCAATCCTTCTCTATCCGTACGAATATCACGTCCTCTCCGTACAGATTTGATGGGCCGCCATGCCTGGCTCTGATAGGCCTGGATAATAATGATGTTCATGCCTGTAATGAAATTACCGCTTGACGTTGCGACGCCGCCCGCTGCCGAGTGATACAATATATCGTCAGCTTTATCTTTCCTTATACCACGTCGCGGGGGCAAGAAGTGATTAAGTGGTTGCTTTTGAATGAGATCGTCTGCGATTGATCACAAAATGGAAATCGGGGAAAATTCAATGCAAGCAAGCACCCCGTCGTCGTTCGTTCCCACACTTGGAATTCTGAGACGGACGGCACACACACTCTTACACCCACCGGTTCGGCAGTTGGAAAAAAAGGCGTGGCATTTGGCATTTTCTACCACCTAAAAGATACAATCGCAAACATGCAAATGCTGCCCGCGATGGCGAGGAAGGTCGCTACGGGCGCTGTGGGATGTGGTGATATTGGGCAGAAGTAAGATGCATAACATTCACTCATCGCCAGCCATTTCAACCGGGGGGGAGGGGCACTCTAAAGATGAGTGAGATGCGATGAGTGATTGCCGATTGAGAGGTGGATCATCCCCCTCTGATCGAGAGAACAAAGGTGCTTGCATGCTTGCCTCATCGACTGAGATGATTCGGATGGAAGGTCAGGACGTGAGTGAGCACGGTGAGGTAGAATGGGGGCAGACATGCATTCAGCAAATGTCTCAACTTCTATTTTCGTTTTTTTGTTTTTTGTTTCCCATGTCGTCCAGTCTAATTCCCCCCTCGTATGACCTCATACTCACCTCCAACGGAAACCTTCTGGAAGGTTGCGCAAGGTATGTTTCTTCTCCGCCCCCATCCGCCGGATGTCAACCCGAGAGCGCTTACCTACCCTCTGGAAGTCTGGACCTGGAAGAAGAGATGGTAATGAAATCATTGTCGCCGGATCATCAGACGAGCGAGAGCCCCTCACGTCGTTTTGTCTGCAAGTTGAACGAATTCGTTACCAAGACTACGTAGAGTGCGGTTCATGTGGGCTACGGGACGACCAGTCCGGCTTAGCACAACCCTTGGCCGCCCCCTCCCTCCCTTCTCCCCCCAGTCCGCCTCTGCCGCCGCAAGCCGACTCGTTCCCCCCCGCGGCGCCCCATCCGCTTGACCATGCTTCGGGCTCGCACATCCGTCTACCTTACGCTACCTTGAAAGTTTACGTACACATTGTCTTTGGGTTAAGGTTGCGATAAAGTCCGCCGGCTGCCGAGCCAAGATATCGAGTATTAAACAAGAGAAACACTAAGCGATATTGAGGAAACAGAGACTAGGGGGATAAAGCTAGGTAACAAACACGGAGAGACAGATGTATCGTGTGGGATACCGACACTTCTCTGCCACATTGGGGGAAGCTTTCGTTGGTTCAGTCTAGGTACATCTGCCCCGGGAATAAGAGCACATGGTATAGCAAGTGCTGGTTTGTTCCCGGAGGCGTATGGCGTGTGCGAGTTGTCGGTTGCTGGTCGCAATCAAACAAGGTTACGCAACCTTTGACGGATAGGTATGTGTGGCTGATGGCAAGGCTTGATAGTGTCGATCTCGGGCTTGAGGTACCTAACCATCCGCCATCCACACTCTCATTAACGCAAGTGCAGAATGCAAGTTTGGCCCCCGTTCCGTTCCTTGAGAGAGCAGCCGGCATGAACATTGGCACATAAGCTAGTGAGTGTTGTGGGTGCAGACTTCGTGTGGTATATGCTTTGATACCCGTGATGCTAATACAACCCAGATGTCACGGAGCGGGCTAGGTATGGTGCCCGGCCGCCCGCCCCGACTTGGCTTTTAAATGTCTCAACATGCTAGTTTCGAGTTGAGATTCACGGCATGCGTGACTTGGTAATCTGGAGTAGACAACCAATTTATTCCTGTCCCCCGGAAATCCCATTGCTTGGCTTCCACGGGTTTCCCCAGCGTGCCAGGGAAGCACACGTGTGATTCGGGGTGCGTTGTGATATGTATACATTCGGAACCGTTGCCCTGTCCACCACTCCAAAATCTTCATGTAGGGGAGGTTCTGCGGGCATCCGTACGGCACGCCCGGTTGCGGGCTCTGATATCTAACGAGAGAGTCGTTGGCCGTTGTGTCGTGCTACCTTACGCAACGCGCGCTGGGAGGGTTGCAGTTGCAGCCGTTCCGGTTGCGAAAAGGAGTAAAATGCGTGGCGGCCGATCCATTGCGATGATGCGGGATACATAAGAGGGGAAGGATGAGAGAGAGACATCGTGACAGGCCCGGTGGATTCGTGTTTTCTTCTTTCTCCCTTGATCCTCCTCGCCCCCTTGAACGTGGTTGGTTGCCAGGTTGCTCAGGGCCTACAGGGTTTTGGGGGGGGGGGGGGGTTGTTATCAACTGGCTTCCTTCGCCAAGACATGGTCTCAGACATTCTAACAATCAAACATTGAGATCGTTTCTCACGATTCTTCCGTCTCCGGCGATGGCTCGGTTCCACCTGATTCAAGACGGACTGGTTTGGTTGGTTTGCCTGACTCCGCAGGCCGATCATGCTGTCTCAGGATGAT